TGGTAGATCTGGTCAAAATAAACATATTTTCTCTTTACCATTTTTAAAATAAATTGAAAATAACCGAGTTATTTAACTTTGAAAATTTAAAAAAATAATCGCAACATTTTGAGAACCGCCGGCAGATATCGCCAACTACATCTAATTACCCGGATCAAGCCCGGATTTCAGTTAATTTGACGCACTGTGTTGCCATAGGGACAAGAAAGTATATGTTTAAAAGTAAGTCATAAAATCACAACACCTGAGGAGTTTGCAGAGATGCATTACATTTTTAAGATAGTGATATTATGACATAAAATAAAACTTACCCAACATTACAAAAAATACTTATGACAGATCGATGTAACTGTGATAGTTCTCTTTTTCGATACACACTTAACTAAAATACACTTCACTGTGCTGCTTTACTTGTACATGCTATTATAAATAACTGATAAAATAACAGTCCCCATTTTTAACACATTATTTTCATATAGGCTTCATCACAATTTGAACCACTGATTTAGAAAACACCTTGAAAAGCACACATTACTTGTCTCTTACCGCCACTTTACGAACTACTTTCAATCTAAGAAAAGTCATGTTTCACTCAACAATTTTAAATAGGTATTTTGTTTTTTCGCTATTTTTTCGATGTATTTCGACAATTCCATCGACCACCCAACCGTCGGCCAAGAGAGCCGCGCATCACTGATCACTGGTAACTGCTCCTGAGTTTTTGTCGCGCCGCCGTGTGGAGCTTGCGTCATGCAAGGTTGCCGTAGTTTCAAGAATTTCAAATTCAATACACTCGAAGCAATCAAATTCTTATTAAATTTTAAAAATAAAACCGAAAAACATGAAAGAAAACAAACAAAACACAAATGAATTGATTATTGATAAAGTCACAAAAAAGAAATTTCTAAAATGTTATTATCGTAATTCAGAATTTAATATTTCGAAAACAGCCCGACGAATAATCAATTCACTTTTGTTTTGTTTGATTCCTTTCATGTTTCTCTGTTTTATTTTTAAAATTTAATACGAATTTGATTGCTTCGAATGTCTTGAATTAGAAATTGTTGTAACTACGGCAACGTTGCTTAACATCGTCGTCTGACGCAAGCCCGCCACGACGGCGCGGCACGGCGCCTCAAAGGACTAGTCCGACCAGTACCAGTTTTTAATTCTCAAATTCTTAGTACTAGACAATAATTCTCAACATTTATTCATTCACAAAGGTATTCAAAGTAAAGTGCGCTTTTCAAGGTGTTTTGTAAATAAGTGGTTCAAATAAAACAGAGAAACATGAAAGAAAACAAACAAAACAAAAATGAATCGATTATTCGTAGGGCTGTTTGCGATTTATTGAATTCTAAATTACGATAAACATTTTAGGAATTTTTTTTTGTGACCTGATTGTGAATAATATGATGAATCATTTTATTAAATTTATTCCAAAATAAAGTTATTTTGCAGCATAACAAAGATTTTCGTAAACGTCATAAACGTAATGTTTTAGTTAATTTTCGGTGGTTTTTGTTAAGTTTCATTGAAAGGGTAAGTACTAAAAATATTAATGTGTTTTTTTTCTATAATTATTAACAATAAGCACTGATAAAAGATTAAATTTAATATTCCTAATTTTTTGAATAGAAATATATTATGTCTATAAATTTATAAATGTAGGACTATGTCGAATGTGGATAACATAGGAGGTTGCAACACTGCAAGGTTTAGATACACCGTAGAGAAATCTCAGGTGAATAAACAAGTGGCACTAAAAAGTTTTTTCAAATTTCCCGGAAAATGTCAAGAAAAATTTTAAATTTTCAACATTTTTTTTTCGCAAAAAAACCTCATAGGCGTGTTTCTGGGGTTGAACTATACTACCAGTTAAAATATTTGCACTCATTTCTGGGACACCCTGTATTAAGGGTGTTAGAAAGCCCCTTTTTGAGGAATCAATACAAACATTTTTTAACCTTTGTATCGAACTACAAAGGATATCACTAGCCTCTTAAAAATAGGCGTAATAAATATATGCATAGTTTTACCCTTGTTTATATATTAATAGTTAGTCAATGAGCCTGTATAAGTCGATGCTGCCAACTGGTGGCAGAAATTAAAACGTATGGCACTATTGAATTTGGCAAAGTTAGTAAGGGACTAGGAATTCTTCGAATTTAATTCTCGGTAAAGAATAAAAATATCTTATCTGATTCGAACCGAATTTATACCTCAAAGCGTTATTTACATTTTTTATTTTTGGACATGGATTTATATTTATTTTGATTTTCATAGCCACTTGTTGGATACTAAAGTATTATATTAGGTATATAAATATTTTATTTTTAGATGGATAATTAAAGAATATAATATGAAACTATACCTACCTACGTCTGTAACTTTGTAAAAAGTGTGGCGGATTTAACATAATGTTTTTTTTAAATGTAACATCCTATTTTATTTTAGATTCTGCGTAAAATTCTATTACTTTTTTTACGTATATTTCTTGTATAATGGTGTAACCTAAAACTAGTTTTATAATATTTCAATTTGTTGATGAAGAAAAAATATTAGATATTTATATGTAGATATTTAAGGTAGAGCTACAGGGTGTTCAATATATATTTTTGAAATTCGACTACGTATTTAAAATAGAAAAATATCTGCAGATTCTTTCAATGACGCAGCCTATACTGAGTGTTTTTTCAAAAGCGGTTCACCTCTATAACTTTTTTATTTTTTCAGATAAAAAAATTAAATTCGGGGTTTACCAAATTCGGAATGTTAGTAGGTATATAACATAAATCGAGATTGATTCGTATTCCGTTAGTTTCGGTCACTTCCTGTTTCACCGGAAATGTATACGAGTACAACATTTGATTTTTAAATGGTACCCTCAGTATTTTTTATACTTTATTTGATAGAAAATGACATTCTGAATAGAATGACATATATCATATGTCAACTTTTGACATTTTCAATTAAAAAAAATAGCATTTTAAAATTCAATCTAGTGTCATGGCTGTGTTAAAACCATTAATTTTTAATCAAGGAGCTTCGGAAAAATTGATTTGATCGTCTAATATTTTTTGTGTCTTTTCCTTTTTGGTACCTGGTAAATAGGTAATTTGGTACCACACACTTCGTATATCGAGTCAAACTGTCGTTACCTTTACGACCGGTTACATGTTGTTTTTTATCATGGCACTCTAGATTGTAATTTAAAATACAATTTTTTAAGTAAATATGTCAAAAGTTGACATTAAATTATTCTATTCACAATGCCATATTCTGTCAAATAAAGTAAAAAAATACCGACGGTACCATTTAAAAACCAAGTTGTAGTCATTTCCGGTGAAACAAGAAATAACCGAAACTAATTGAATACGTCAATCAAGCCACTTTTGAAAAACACCCGGTATATTATATTTTTTCTGATAGATTTTACATAATTCTTCAATTTCTATTAATAATGTCATATAACTATATAAATTACTTTAATGCTTAATAATAAATAATTTTTGTTTTGTCATGGCAAAACTTGTTATACCTAGTGTAAATGAAGTAAAAGAAGGATAAAAATTGAAAAATTCAGAACAGATTGCAAGCTGTATAGAGTATAGATGTACTTAATATACTTTCTTAACAAATGTTGAAAGGTTTTGTAAAATCACTAGAAAAAATAATAATATATAGGATCAGCCAAAAAAAACTGTTTGAACACAGTGTAGCATCTAACTCCAAGTATTTTTACATATATCTTTTTCTTCACCTCTCTAAAACACTCCTACCAAATTTGTGTAGCCCAACTTCGGAAACAACTGACAATTATGTAACATAGGATTAATTTTTTTTGCAAATACTAACGTTATTTATAAAAAAAAGTTATAGAATTTTAGGCAGAATCGAAAATAAAATAAAGGTTATAAATAAGAGTTTTGCATTAAAAAACATGTTACATTATATCCGCCACATTTTTTGAAAGCACCCATTATACTCAAAAATAATATTTGAACTGTGTCTCTTAAGATTCTCTATACCCTTTTTTGTGAATTCCCAAAACAAACGAGATAATTAACTTTATTTATTTCCTGATATCTCATTTTATAATATTTCGAAAGAATCAATCAGGTATCTTATTTTTATAATTATTAGAAATAAATCGGATTTAAAGGATAAGGAATATGTAAGTGTATACCATACGATAAAAAAAAACGGCGTCAGAGGTGGCTTGGAAATGAATATCGATGTCATATATTTCTACGTAAACAAATAGACGCCGTTTTTTTTTCGCTCATACCGTATAAGAAAACAAATTTAATAAAACAAACGCATTTATTAATAATGTATATAGATTTACATGGTATGAAAAATTCGCATTATAATCTCTGAAGGTCCTACCATGGTCCCACCAATGGTTGGTTAAAGTGGCGAGTACGACCACTTAGCAGTCACACCTATAATAATTTAATAAAATATGAATATAATAAACAAACTTATTTCTTTTAGATTTTTTAAAAGCGAGTTATATGTGTTAAGTGGTTTTTGATTATTTTAGACTAAATTTTTTAGACATATGATTATTTTAGACCAAATTGTCTGCCCACTCAAACGTCTTTCAAAATTATAATGTAGGAAATTCTTAATATGTTTTAATTGGGAATACTTTTAGAAAGTTTCATTTTCACCAAACAAAACTACGTATGTATAATAAATTGCAGTATAATGAACTATAATGCATGATATATACTGGTGGCGTCAAAACTAGATGTTGGGTTTTTCTCGATTATTTCAAAGAGAACTCCACATTTTATGACATAAACGTAGTTTTTTCCAACTTTGTTTTGAAAAATAATTTTTAAATCCAAATAATCGATATTTATACAGTAATGTCCTCTTTTGGAATACATAATTATTTTCAGCTGCAGCGATAAAATAAATAATATTTACTGATACGCTAAGTAAAAAAATAATTAGGAAATTATTTTAGACATCTAATTCTTAATTTTTGTCGCTGATAAATATGTAGATACATCACTTTTAACGACAAACCTACTAATAAAAATTGCGAAAAACAAATCATGTTTATTCTCAAAGAGACAATTATTGAGAACAATCCAATAACTATTAATCTGGGATATAGATCTTAACAAAACAAAAGTTGGATAAAAGATTTGTTGATTTATGATATAAAATACAGTGTTCCATTTGAAATAGCAAAGAAAAATATAATATATAGTTTTGACTCATCCTGTATATAATACAAAAAAAATAATATAAAGAAAATTTAATCATATAAATAATTTAGGAATTTAGCATATTTTTATATAATTATATGAAGAGAACATTACCTTAAATTAGTTCCAGTAAAAAACTTCCATATTACTTATTTTTAACTTAGAAAGGGCTTTAAATATATATTTTATTATATAAACAAAAAAATTTAATCCAAAAATGGTCAAAATGAACTCTATACGATTACGACATTATAGTATTTTCTGGAATGACAATTTTTTGACAAATTCACCAAGAAAAAATAAAAAATATAGCTTTTCTTTTGACAAACTATACAACTCTAAAGTAAATATGTATTTAAATCTACGAATCATCCTGTATATCTATAAAAATACCTCCCTGTCAAATTTACGCTACTTTTGCATGCAAGCATACCTATTTTACAAAAATATGATTTGAGTGAAAATATAAAATAGGAAATCTGATATGAAGCTTTATCTAAACACAGGGTTGAGTGTAGATAAACAATATTTTACGTTATTAATTAAGAAAAATTATAAAATACACAATATATCTGACAGTTCCAAAAAAGCAAAGTAAGAAATGAAACATAATTTATAGCATAAAATCAGTATTTTTTAAATTTTTAAGTCAACTGGCCATTATCGTTTAATCTATCTATCAATCTATCAAATTTAATGTTTATTATTAAACTTATCTCAACTCTCTATGAGGTAAAACTCTAAGATAAAAACTCTAAAAACCAAGAGTGATTTAAAACAAATTTATATGAATTTAGAAATAAATATGAACAGTATTTACTCACCTGTAATACAGATGCTTTTTGTTTAATTAAATATATTTCAAAATATTATCCAGCAGGTACAAAATACACATTACACATCACGTAAACACAACACATAAAACTCATAAAATAATAGTTTGTAATCCAAATATTCAAAAATACTGTTTCGTTTCTTCGTGGGGGACGAAAAAATTGATTTTTTTAATTATTTAGATATGCATTAAGGTATATTTCAACTCAACAGCTTATAAATAATTATTTTTTAAGACATAACCTAAACGAAACGAAATCAGAAGTCGAGAAAGATAAACAAAACTGCCGAATTTAGAAACGAATATGACTTTTTTTCCTTTTTTCTTGTCACAGTTGAAACAAACAAGGAAAGCTATTTTCGTAAAACATGCGTGAAACGTGCTAATAAGTAGCCCAATAGATGTGACCTCGCGCCCTTCCATTTTTGAACGATGGGCGGGTTTAACGGATTCCCCTCAAAGAAAATCGTAGGGGAATACAAAAATGCAGAACGGGCAAGGCGCCATCTACAAGACAGGATTTTACTAAGCCCTCATTGTATATCTATTTATACATAATCAAGGGTTTTACCAAATCAGCTTGTGTCAAGTTAATTTTTAGTAAAGAAGCCTTCGGGTAAAACCCGTTTTATATCATATTTAAAGAACTTGAATAAGTTTGTAACTAGTTCACACTTGATAACGGTCAGTGATACTTCTGACCGAAACGTTATGTAAGCAAAATAAATAGAGACCATGGAAGTCCGAAATTATTTTAGTTTCGTACTGAATCATTGTCTACCACATTCAAAGTAAAGTTTGTTACTAATTTCCATTTTAAGATGGAAGATTACCGGATATATCATGAATTATTAAAAAGGTTATATATCCACAATAGACCTATTTATATCCTTATAATAACATTAACATTAAACATTTTTAATGAAATAAATTTACACTTGGTATCAAGTGTGTTAAACATCTTAATGATTTCCTTATATTTGGTTCGTCTTCTGAAATTTGGGCGAATAATAATAATAAATATACAGTTGAGTTACTATTATCATTAAGAATTAAGTTTATTTTTGAAAAATGTGTTTTACAACCGTCAAAATATACCGACAAATATAAAAAGCATAGATTGAGATGTTTCTATATATAATAATAATAATAATAGCTCCCGTATATAGAGTTTAACGCCTTGGGAGTAGGAAGGTACAGCTTGCCATGCTAGAGCCGTTCTGTACACAAGGAAGGTAATGTGGCACTACGCTTCAACCGTCTATTATTACCTCAGGATTGTGAATCCCAAGTACTCATTTAAGGCTGAGTCGACCTAGGTATCCAAACTATTTTTAATTTAATAAAAATAGTCGGCTGATGAAATACCGGGTGTAGGAATCGAACCCACAACCTTGAGGTTGGTAGACGAGAGCCTGTACCTCTACGCCACCAGGCACCTTATTGAGAGGTTTCTAAAAAATAAAAATAAAAAAATGCACTATTAGAGAATAGGCATATTTTATAGGTAACTTGTCTCTTCTTGCCCCGGTGTTAAGTTTGGATGGTTACATACAAAAACACTAGGGAGAGAGATATTTTGTGAACTTAAAATTAACAATCAATTTGAAAATCCAAATATTGATTTGTTTGCATCCAATCTTAACCGGAAGTGTCATAAATTTGTATCTTGGCATCCTAACCCTAATTCTGTAGCTGTCGAAACTTTCACAATAAATTGGCAGAATTTATATTTTTATGCATTCTCACTTTTTAGCTTAATTTTAAGAAAATTATACTAGATCAGGCACGGAGCATAATTGTTGGTCCGTGGTGGTTGTGACAACCATGGTTTCCTTTATATTTCTTATACATAAAATAGGAAACCATATTTTGTTTAAACCACAGCCTAATTTACTTCTTGTTCTTTCATTGGGAAGCAACACCCGATATCAGGCCATCTTTTCCTGGTAGCCGCGGTATCATGTAGCAAGGTTTCTGAATAAAGAACATACCAGAAAAAGCTATTTCCATTACTTCTATTTCAGAAAATACCTTAACGCAGTATATTACTGCGTTTAATTGTTGGTGGAATTTTTGTATGAAAAATAATTTTTCTCTTTGGGGTTGTAAAAAAAAAACGGGTTGGTCTGAAACACCCTCGGTGTTCCAGGGATATTATAATAGGCTAGTTGTAAGTGATTCAAGCCAATTCTCTATTGTATTATAAACAGTTGATTTAGTAAATAATTGTTCTATCTTACCGTTGTAAGATCAGATTGTAGTGATTTTTCGTAATTCACTAATTAAAAGTAATTAACAAGTAAACTGCTGTTTATTTGTTACTTTAATATAATCTTCGCAAAGTCTTTAAACATCTACTTGGTAATTATAATTAATATTGAGGACTGGAAGTCGTGCTAAAATTATATTATCAAACGAACTTACTTGTGATGTTCGATCATAATTTTAGTAGACTTCCAGTCCGAAGATATTAATTACCCGCCACACCCTATATATATTTTCCCCCAGATTGCGAAGATTACTAGTACCCTTGGAATAATGAAGATACTGAGAGTTGGCAGGGTAGGGTTGAGGATGCACAGGGCCGGACTTCTTTAAAATATAGTGGCATTAGTGAGTATCCAGAGGACTACTACTTGGTAATTATAATTAATATCTTCGGACTGGAAGTCTACTAAAATTATGATCGAACATCACAGGTAAGTTCGTTTGATCATATAATTATGCAG